ATCTAAAGAATCTAAAGAATCTAAAGAATCTAAAGAATCTAAAGAATCTAAAGAATCTAAAGAATCTAAAGAATCTAAAGAATCTAAAGAATCTAAAGAATCTAAAGAATCTAAAGAATCTAAAGAATCTAAAGAATCTAAAGAATCTAAAGAATCTAAAGAATCTAAAGAATCTAAAGAATCTAAAGAATCTAAAGAATCTAAAGAATCTAAAGAATCTAAAGAATCTAAAGAATCTCAAGAATCTAAAGAATCTAAAGAATCTAAAGAATCTAAAGAATCTAAAGAATCTAAAGAATCTCAAGAATCTAAAGAATCTAAAGAATCTAAAGAATCTAAAGAATCTAAAGAATCTAAAGAATCTAAAGAATCTAAAGAATCTAAAGAATCTAAAGAATCTAAAGAATCTAAAGAATCTAAAGAATCTAAAGAATCTAAAGAATCCGAAGAATCCGAAGAATCCGAAGAATCCGAAGAATCCGAAGAATCCGAAGAATCCGAAGAATCCGAAGAATCCGAAGAATCCGAAGAATCCGAAGAATCCGAAGAATCCGAAGAATCCGAAGAATCCGAAGAATCCGAAGAATCCGAAGAATCCGAAGAATCCGAAGAATCCGAAGAATCCGAAGAATCCGAAGAATCCGAAGAATCCGAAGAATCCGAAGAATCCGAAGAATCCGAAGAATCCGAAGAATCCGAAGAATCCGAAGAATCCGAAGAATCCGAAGAATCCGAAGAATCCGAAGAATCCGAAGAATCCGAAGAATCCGAAGAATCCGAAGAATCCGAAGAATCCGAAGAATCCGAAGAATCCGAAGAATCCGAAGAATCCGAAGAATCCGAAGAATCCGAAGAATCCGAAGAATCCGAAGAATCCGAAGAATCCGAAGAATCCGAAGAATCCGAAGAATCCGAAGAATCCGAAGAATCTGAAGTATCCGAAGAATCCGAAGAATCCGAAGAATCCAAAGAATACAAAGAATTCAAAGAACCCAAAGCATCGAAAGAATCGAAAGAATCGAAAGAATCGAGAGAATCGAAAGAATCCAAAGAATCCAAAGAATACAAAGAATTCAAAGAACCCAAAGCATCGAAAGAATCGAAAGAATCCAAGGAATTCAAGACATCCAAGTAATCCAAGGAATTCAAGGAATCCAAAGAATCGAAAGAATCGAAAGAATCGGAAGAATGGAAAGAATCGAAAGAATCCAAAGAATCCAAAGATCCGAAGAATCCGAAGAATCTGAAGTATCCGAAGAAATCAAAGAATCCAAGGAATCCAAAAAATCCAAAGAATCCAAAGAATACAAAGAATTCAAAGAACCCAAAGCATCGAAAGAATCGAAAGAATCCAAGGAATTGAAGAAATCCAAGTAATCCAAGGAATCCAAGGAATCCAAAGAATCGGAAGAATCGAAAGAATCGAAAGAATCGAAAGAATCGGAAGAATCGAAAGAATCCGAAAAATCCGAAGAATCCGAAGAATCCGAAGAATTCGAAGAATCCAAAGAATCCAAAAAATTCAAAGAATCCAAAGAATACAAAGAATTCAAAGAACCCAAAGAATCGAAAGAATCGAAAGAATCGAAAGAATCGAAGAATCGAAAGAATCCAAAGAAGCCAGAGGATCCAGAAGATCCTGAGAATCCACAGAATGTAGAGAATCTAGAGAATTTGGAGAATCTAAGGGATCAAAGGGATCTAAGGGATCTAAGGAATCAAAGGGATCTAAAGGATCGAAAGAATCGAAAGAATCGAAAGAATCGGAAGAATCGAAAGAATCGAAAGAATCGAAAGAATCGGAAGAATCCAAAGAATACAAAGAATCCAAAGAATTCAAAGAACCCAAAGCATCGAAAGAATCGAGAGAATCCAAGGAATTCAAGAAATCAAGTAATCCAAGGAATTCAAGGAATCCAAAGAATCGAAAGAATCGAAAGAATCGGAAGAATGGAAAGAATCGAAAGAATCCAAAGAATCCAAAGATCCGAAGAATCCGAAGAATCTGAAGTATCCGAAGAAACCAAAGAATCCAAGGAATCCAAAAAATCTAAAGAATCCAAAGAATACAAAGAATTCAAAGAACCCAAAGAATCGAAAAAATCGAAAGAATCGAAGAATCGAAAGAATCCAAAGAAGCCAGAGGATCCAGAAAATCCTGAGAATCCACAGAATGTAGAGAATCTAGAGAATTTGGAGAATCTAAGGGATCAAAGGGATCTAAGGGATCTAAGGGATCTAAGGAATCAAAGGGATCTAAAGGATCGAAAGAATCGAAAGAATCGAAAGAATCGAAAGAATCGAAAGAATCGAAAGAATCGAAAGAATCGAAAGAATCCAAAGAATACAAAGAATCCAAAGAATACAAAGAATTCAAAGAACCCAAAGCATCGAAAGAATCGAAAGAATCCAAGGAATTCAAGAAATCCAAGTAATCCAAGGAATTCAAGGAATCCAAAGAATCCAAAGAATCGAAAGAATCGAAAGAATCGGAAGAATGGAAAGAATCGAAAGAATCCAAAGAAGCCAGAGGATCCAGAAGATCCTGAGAATCCACAGAATGTAGAGAATCTAGAGAATTTGGAGAATCTAAGGGATCAAAGGAATCTAAGGGATCTAAGGAATCAAAGGGATCTAAAGGATCTAAGGGATTAAAGAGATCTAAGAGATCTAAGGGATGTAAACATGTAAAGTATGAAAGGATCTAAAGGATTTAAGGGATCTAAGGGATCTAAAGGAGCTAAGGGGTGTAAAGGATCTAAAGGATTTAAGGATATTAAGGATCTAAAGGATCTAAAGGATCTAAAGGATCTAAAGGATCTAAAGGATCTAAAGGATCTAAAGGATCTAAAGGATCTAAAGGATCTAAAGGATCTAAAGGATCTAAAGGATCTAAGGGATCTAAGGGATCTAAAAGATCTAAGGGGTCGAAAAGATTTAAAGGATTTAAAGGTTCTAAAGGATGTAGGGTATCTAAAGGATCTAAAGGATTTAAGGATCTTAAGGTTCTAAAGGATCTAAAGGATCTAAAGGATCTAAAGGATCTGAACCACTCGGACAGCCCTAAAAGGCTTATTTGCCTGAAGAGTTCAAAGATGTTGAAGAAACTGAAGCGCTTGAAGAGACTGAAAACCCTAAGGAGCCTGAACAACCTAATCACCCTAAATAACCTAAGAACTTGTATGTGAAAAGTCTGAAGAGAGTGCAGAACGTGAGTCCAAAGAATCCAAAGAAACTAGAGGATCCAGATGATCCAGAGGATCCAGAGAATTCAGAAAATCCAAAGAATCCAGAGAATCTTGAGAATCCAAAGAATGTAGGGAATCTAGAGAATTTATAGGATCTAGAGAATTTAGAGGATCTAGAGAATCTAGGGACTCTACGGGATCAAAGGGATCTAAGGGATCTAAAGGATCTAAAGGATCTTAAGGACCTAAAGGATTTAAGGGATCTAAACGATCTAAAAGATCTAAAGGATCTAAAGGTTCTAAAGAATCTAAAGGATCTAAGGATCTAAGGAATATAAAGGATCTAAAGGATTTAAAAGATCTAAAATATCTAAAGATACTAAAGGATCTAAAAATCTAAAAGATCTAAGGGATCTAAAGGATTTAAAGGATATAAAGGGTCTGAACAACTCGGAGAGCCCTAAAAGTCTTAATTGCCTGAAGAGTCAGAAGAGATTGAAGAAACTGAAGCGCCTGAAGAGACTGAAAACCTTAAGAAGCCTGAACAGCCCAATTTCGAGCTATAGATTTTATTTTACAAAGACCTCCACAATTGTCTTCGTCATTTTATACACAAAAAGGGCGGAATTGAACAGTTTTGTGTTTAACGACGGCACTGGAAAACGATGAAAAATGTATAAAACGCTTTTCTAGGGTCTTGAAAGGCTAAATTTTCATCAACTTCCACTACGAGACAACTTTTTATCATGAAAATAGTTAGATATCGTTTTAGCAAAATGAAATATTGAGTGGTAGTTCCCTATGATCCTCTGGACGGTTTCATAACTGGGAAAGACATAATATTTTAGTCTAAAAAATGTATCGAACCGAATTGAATTTTAAAATTGTGGGTTTTTTTCCTTATTTTTAACACTGCAGCCAAGTTGGGTATATAATATATAATCAGCCCTGCTGGTTAGACCGAGCCGAGTCTTTTAACGCGGGCTAAGCGAGCAACGCGCCTAATTAGCTTAGTTTTGGGACAAACATTCACACGTTTACATATTAGAACGTTAATTTTTGATCAACTCAGACCACGAAACATCACAAAATCTTAATTTAAAATTTCAAGCACATGTTTTTTTTTATAAAGACGTCCAAACCGCATTAGTCATTTTATACGCGGAAGGAGCAATGGCACAGTTCTGTCTTTTACGACGCCACTGGGAACCGTTAAAAAATTTAAAACGCACTTGTAAAGTCCAGGAAGTGCAAATTTCCGCCCACTCCCATTACAAAACTTTGAGGAAATCGATCCCGGCGCCACCACTTTGACATCTTTTCCTGTATTTTTACTAACCTTGTTTTCTTCGACTGGAGGAAATTTATTTATATTTTAGGAAGAAAGTCAGACGGAGTGTAGGCGGCTGCTCGCTGAAAATCTCAAGTGTTCGGCAAAAATAATTTGTTTCCACTGGTTCGAGCCATTAGTGTGTTATAAATTTACACTTAATACAGTCTCCATTGTGTGAATTTGTGACTCATTACTGACATTATTAAATAAAACGGGGATTTCATTTCAGCGACGCTCGAACAATGCCAACTCCAACTTTACACTTTCCTCTAGAGTTTTATCTAGTCGACTAAAGTGAGTCTGATTTAAACCTGAAACCACCCACTCGTGACACAGTAATAAAATAATGAGGCGATTTGTACATTCACTCACCTTTTTGGCAGAGAGTCGCTAATAAAACAGTTATAAAAATCCGAGCAATAAATCTCGGACTATTTAGTGACTAATTTTTCAGCTTTTGTAATCGCGTGTGCTTTCAGGCTATCCTGTTTTACACGCCCCGATGGCTGTGGAAGTCCTGGGAAGGCGGCAAAATCCACGCTTTGATGATGGACCTGGACGTGGGCATTTGTTCCGAAATCGAAAAGAAACAGAAGAAGAAGCTCATGATAGACTACTTGTGGGAAAACCTCAGGTACCACAACTGGTGGGCCTACAAGTACTATTTCTGTGAACTTTTGTCCCTAATAAACGTTATAGGTACGTAGATTTTTGTCTGAGCGCTACTTTTCTCAAAAATAATTAGCTTGTCGCCTGTCAGAAGCAATGTTTTGGTGTGTTGAAATCCGTCTACGATTCAATTAATGAATGATTTATGCTTTCAGTTTTTATATTCTTTACAAAAATAAACAGATCGGACACGGTTTTACGATAGGAGCTGTCATTTCGTTGTGAATTCAATTTGGTAAAGTGAGTTATTTTCACGGGATCAGCTGTTGGGAGTAAGTGGGTGTTGGTGTTTCTAGTTTATTTTTTCAAATTCAAGTTGTTTGTTACGTATTAATTCCTATTAAATTTTCATTTCTGGTTTGTGGAGCTAAACGCGACGATTTCATTCGAATTGTTTACTAATCTCGCCGGTATTGTTCCTGTTTTCATTGCTTTATGTTTGCAGTTTATTTCCTAGAAGCTGTTATTTTGGGTGTTAAGTTTTGCCGTTGCACTAATTCGACAAAATCACTTATTAATTATTAGAAAACAGAAAATATCCTGAACGATTTTCGAGGCACATAATTGTGGAAATTTTCTTGACCGGTTTCGACAGAGTCCTTGTTCTTCTTCAGGTTTTTTGATATCCACTTTTGGCATTCCTCTAGAACATACTTAAATCGAGATTCACTGACTTGCTTTTCTTTGTGAATGTTTGTCGTTTTAGTTTCTCATTATAAATCTTTTAGAATACTAGTGCATCTATCTTCTACCACACACAAGTAAAAATTCTTCTAGTTCTTTTCCGTTCAGAACATAATTCTTCTAGAATATGTTCGATCTCACCTTGACTAAGTCTGTTGACGGCTCTTTTACACACATTTCTCTGAACATTTCTTCTAAAATTTTCTTGGACCTTGATCTTAGTATACACATATTCTAGATATTTCTAAAAAATCGCTTTTGTAACTTTCCTTAAATAATAATCATCATTTAGAAATTTGTTGTGTTTTCTTGACCAATTTCTGTAATTATAGAAGTAATTTTTGACTCTTTTTGGTGAATCTTTGATAGCTTCTAGTTTCTCATTTAGAATCTTCTAGAATATTATCAGATTCTCCCTGTCATACCAGAGTGAAGTAAAAGTTCTTCTATTTTTTCTCCATTCATTGATAGTGAAGGATTTATGCTAGTAAAAAATAGGAAGCTAAAACGTACAAGTCAACAAACTGTTATTGGGACTGCAGAGGTTTCTACAGATGATAACTCGGGAATAAAAGGTCATGAACGAAAGGCCTGGATATATGTCGGAAGAGTAAGCATGGACTCAGATGACGTTAAATTAGCAAGATTTATTTGTCAGAAGATTCCAGGAGCTCGAAAACTTAGCGTCACCAAGCTTACGACAAGAGGAAACACATATGCCTATTGCGTCGGTATTGATTTTGAATACAAGGATCGTCTTTTTGAAGCTAGTTTCTGGCCGAAGGGTATTGTAGTGCGTAGATTTAATTTTAGTTTCAATAAAAAAAGTATGCCTTCACTTAATAGTGATTCTAACAATATGACTCAAAGGAATAAGGTAACTGATACTTTTGATGTTAAAGAAAATGATGTAAATTTTCACCAAGGGGCGATACCGAAAATATACAAATGATGCGTGGTAAGAAGTTTTATCTTAATTTATTCTACATGAATATGCAATGTATAAGAAATAAAATATTAGAGTTAGAGGCATTTTTGAAAGATTCTCAACCTATAGAAATATTATGTTGTAGTGAACATTGGTTAAATGACCTTGAATGTAATGATATGCAAATAGAAAACTACTCGATTGTGTCTAAATTTTGTAGAGTTCTTAAAACACATGGCGGTGTGAGCATTTACGTTAGGAATTCTTGTAGGGATATTTTTATACCAATAGATTTAAGCAAGTACAGTAGAGAAATCCATTGTGAATTTGCAGGAGTAAAAATCTTAAATGTGGTTATTGTATGTTTATATCGATCACCTGATGGTGATCTGAATATTTTTATTGAGAATCTAAATCTAATGTTATCCTATGTAATAAAAAATAATAATATAATTTTGATTGGAGATTTCAATGTTAACTTTGATAATAGCAGAAATAGTCAAACACAGCTAGTGGTAAATTGCCTTTCATCATTTAATTTAATACAAACTATATTTCAACCAACGAGAGTTAATTCGAACTTAGACAATATGTTCACAAATATGCATAAAAATTGTTACGAGACAGTAGTGTTTGATCCAGTTATCTCTGACCATAGCGGTATATGTGTTACATTTTCTTTACAAGAAACTGCAAACTTGATAAAAGGCAAAGTATCATGCAGACCAGTCACAAAGGCTGGCATGTATAATTTATACAACTCAATTGAAAGGGCTGATTGGTCTTTCATTGATGATATATCTTTGAACTGTAATGTGAAATTTAGTAAGTTCCATAATATCTTAGTTATGACGGTTCAGAATTCCTTTCCCATAAAAACATTACCTTATAACAATTTAAACAGACCGAAAATACAATGGTTTAACAATAATCTTAAAAATATGCGAGAGAAGTTACATTTTTTAAAAGAACTTTATAATTTAAACCTAATATCAAAACAAGAATTCAATAGTTACAGAAATAAATACCGTTCTGAGTTGGCTAAAGCAAAAAAAACAGCGCATGATAATTTTATATTAAAAGCTGACAACAAACATAAAGCAGCATGGGATATCATTAAACCCCAGTCAGTACAATTACCACCCACAAATGATTTGACATCCAATGATTTTATAGATTATTTTACTAATGCTCCGGGAAACATTGTAAAAGACTTGCCTCAATCAAATTTTGATCCCTGTAATTATATGTCAGTTGTTAATACTTCTCAATTTAAGTTCAAGGAAATAACATTTAATGATCTCAGACAAATTATTTCTTTAATAAAAAATAGTAATAGTAAAGACGCCTATGATATAAATGGAAAAATGATAAAAGTTTTAACTAATGTAATCATAATTCCACTAACAAAGCTTATAAATCTATGCTTACGAGAATGTGTATATCCGGATGTTTTAAAACTCGGAAAAATAATTCCTGTTTTCAAAAAAGGTACGGATAATCTAAAAAATTATCGTCCAATATCCATAATTCCAACAATTAGTAAAATATTTGAAATAATTCTCAAAAATCAAATAAATAATTACTTTGAACAAAACATGTTATACTGTCATAATCAGTATGGATTTAGGAAGAACCACTCAACTACAATGGCAGTAAATAAAGTAGCGGAAATTGTGTTCAACGCATTTAGTAAGAAAGAACATGCCTATGCAATATGCCTTGATCTAACTAAAGCATTCGAATGTGTCGCACATGATTTACTGTTAAAAAAACTGGAACTTTATGGATTCGATAGTTCAAGTCTATTATTGTTAAAATCATATTTGACAAATCGGTACCAGTATGTAAATTATAAAAACGTAAACTCAACACGACAATTAATAAGATATGGTGTTCCTCAAGGTTCTGTCTTGGGTCCCATCCTATTCCTAATATTCATCAATGATTTACCAAGCAGTTCTTTCATGACGAACTTTATTTTGTTTGCAGACGACACGACACTAGCGGGTAGTAATCAGGATGTAAAGAAATTAATAAACGAAATTACTCAAGCAGAGAATGAAATCAATACTTGGTTCTTGTCCAATAAATTGTGTAGGAATGAGAGTAAGACTCAAAGACTATATTTTTCTTTACGAGAGCTGGATACTGTTGAGGAAACAATTAATATGCTAGGGATAATATTGGATAAAAAAATGACTTTTGAACAACATATTGTTAAGTTAAGCAAATCAGTATCAAAAAGAATCTACACACTTCGCAGGCTACGACTAGTTGTGTCTGAAAAAACATTAAGAGCAGCTTATTTTGGATATATTCATAACTGTTTATCATATGCAATTTTAGTATGGGGTCATTCTCATCATTTGTTAAAATTATTTGCTATACAAAGAAAATGTATTCGCATTATAGCCGGGTTAAATTATAGAGATGACTGTAGGGTATCATTTAAAAATTTATGTATTATGACACTACCATCAGTTTATATTTATGCTTGTCTTAGATATGTGAAAGCTAATCCAAATCAGTTTAGATCCCTGGACCATGAGCATCAAACAAGATATAAAGAATGGCTACAAACAGATTTTCAAAGATTAACGAGAACAAGAACAGCTCTACGGTATTATTGTATTACACTATTTAATGTACTTCCAGTGTCATTAAAAGAGTTACCTGAGAATGTATTTTGTAAAGTTGTCAAAGAATTATTAATTAATAACGTTTTCTATTCTACATCTGAGTTTATTAAATATAAGTTTACGGACATGTGAAACATTTTTTGTAATGATTATCACGAAATATATTATTATTATTATTATTATTATTATTATTATTATTATTCAGAATATAGTTCTTCTAGAATATTCACCAAGTTTTTCTTCGAGGACCTCCCACATTTTCTCTAAGCATGCCCTTCTAGAATTATTGTGGGAGTTGTCTTAATAAAAGTAAGATTCTTTAGATATTTATAGAATATTCCTAAAATAACCACTTCGAGAAATCAATACGGCTTTGGAAATATTCTAGAAAATTTTATGTAACTCTAGAAGTAACTGTTTCAAACGTTCAGGGTATTGTTCTGGAATGAAATGTTCCAAAATACTATATTCTTTCTTGAACAACGATTACGCTTTGAAGTTCAAATTTTGTTCTGTTCCTGCTTTCGCTTATAAAACTTCTAGATTATTGATTCTAGTTATTAAGCAGAATTTTTAGAATAGAACTTTTTAGAACCTTCTGTATACGTTTACAATGGATTCGTTTGCTTAAGATAATGATGGCGTCGTAGGCTAAATGTTCTAGAAGCACCTTATATTTTTCCAAAACTTAATCGAATATTCTAGAACCATCACAAAATTTCGTTAATTGTATTTTTGCAACTTTTTTTCTACAGTGCAGTAGCATATTGCTTCAAATCTGTCATTAGGAGTCTTCTAGAAAATTTTCGTACTCAGGTTCTCTCTCTTTTCTACCGTCTAAAATATAGTCCTTCTAGAAAATTTTCGATTTCGCATTGAGCGAGTTTTTTCGATCCTATTATTTAAACATATCCTTCTAGGATTTTGCTTGGGCGTTGGTCTTAACAGAGATAAATTTTTTTAGATATTCTAGAAAATTTGCTGCCTTTGAAATATTTTAGAAATTCGTAGAACTTTCTTCGTCGGGAATTGATTTAACTGTACAACTATATTCTGAAATAGAATGTTCCAAAAGACTATATTCTTACTTGTACAACGAGTATGCTTTGAAGTTGAAATTCAATACCTATTTCTGTTTCGGATTATAACTCTTCTAGAATATTGATTCTACTTTTTAAATAAAATTTTTTAGAATGGAACTTTTTATAACCTTCATTTGATTTATCTCGATTTTTTTCTCAGGTAGAAGTTTTCTAGACGTTATTTCGATTCCCAAATCCTCTAGAAGTTCCTATTTTTTTAATCAAATATTCTAGTACTTTGCGAAACTACAGTATAAGCGTCTTATTTTTTCTAAACTTCTGGTTTCCTTCTGAAAGGAATATTCTAGAACCCTGACAAAATTTCCTTATATGGACATTTTTGGAACTTTTTCCGTAATGCAGTAAAATTTCTGTAGTTCTTTATTACTAAATAGAATTTTTCTAGAGGATGCTTAAAGCTAGGTCAAGTGATTTTCTTATTTTTCAGTGTTTTCGCGAATTTTTGATAGCTTCTAGTCTTCTAGAATATTATCATTTTCACATTTTCCCTCTTCTAGCAGAATGAAGTAAAAGTTCGTTTAAAATTTCTCCATTCAAAATATAGTTCTTCTAGAATATTTTTGATCTCATATTCCATCTTCTCTAAGCATGCCCTTCTAGAATTATTTTGGGAGTTGTCTTAACAAAAGTAAGATCTTCTAGATATTTCTAGAATATAACCACTTCGAGAAATCAACACGAACGTTTATACGGCTTTGGAAATATTCTAGAAGTTCGTAGAGCGTCTTTCTTTGAAAATTTATATAACTCTAGAAGTAACTGTTCCAAATTTTCAGGGTAATATTCTGGAATGAAATGTTCCAAAAGACTATATTCTTTCCTGAACAATGGTTACGCTTTGAAGTTCAAAATCTATTACCTTTTCCTACTTTCGTTCATAAATCTTCTAGAATATTGACTCCAGTTTATAAGCAAAATTTTTAGAATAGAATTTTTTGGAATATTCTTCAGAATGGATTCTTTTGCTTAACAGAATTTATTTATCTTGATTTTTTCTGAAGCTGAAATTTTCCATGTGCTATTACAGTACTAAAATATTCTAGAAGCTCCTGCATTTTATCTTATATTTTCCCAATACTTAATCGCATATTCTAGAACTTTGCGAAACTGTATTATGTATCTTATTTTTCTAACCTTCCTGTTTTCTTCTGAATGGAATATTCTATCCTTTCTGAACAGAATTGCTCTATAATGTGCTTAAATCTAGGTCAACTGGTTTCTCTTATTTTTGACTATGTTTTCGTGAATTTTTGATAGCTTCTAGTTTATCATTAAAAGTCGTCTAGATTCTCCATGTTCTACTAGAATGAAGTAAAATTTCTTCTATTTCTTTATCCAATCAAAATATAGTTGTTCTAGAATATTTTAGATCTCATCTTTACCAAGTTTTTCTTCGAGACTATCCTACACCATTTTCTCTAAGCATGCCCTTCTAGAATTATCATAGGAGTTGTCTTAACACAGGTAAGATCTTCTAGATATTTCTAGAATATTCCTAAAATAATCGCTTCGAGAAATCTGAAAAATTATACGGCTTTGGAAATATTCTAGAAGTAAGTCTTTCAAACTTTCAGGGTAATGTTCTGGAATGAAATGTTCCAAAATACTGTATTTTTTCTTGAACAACGGTTACGCTTTGAAGTTCAACTTCTATTACCTATTCCTGCTTTCGTTTATAAATATTCTAGAATAATGATTCTAGGTTTTAAGCAACATTTTTAGAATAGAGCCTTTTAGGACCTTCTTCATATCTTCACAATGGATTCTATTGCTTAACACAATGCTGTCGTAATAGGCTATACGTTCTAAAAGCTCCTGTATTTGATCTTATATTTTCCCAAAACTTAATCGAATATTCTAGAACTTTGGCGAAACTGCATTAAGTGTCCTATTTTTCTAACCTTTCTGTTTCCTTCTGAATAGAATATTCTAGAACATTCACAAAATTTCGCCAATTTTACTTCTTTTGGAACTTGGAATAGAATTTCTCTAGAACGTCTTAAATCTAAGTAGGTTAACTGCCTTCTCTCATTTTTTCGTGAATTTTTTATCGCTTCTAGTCTCTCATTAGAAATGATCTAGAATATTGCCATGCTCAAGTTCTTTCTCTTCTACCAGAATGAGTTCGATTTTTGAATTCTGAATATAGCTCTTCTAGAATATTTTCGACTTTCTTCTATTTTCCCAAGTCTTAACGAATATTCTATAACTTTCTTTTTTTCTGAACGGGATATTCTAGAATCTTCACAAAATTTTGTTAACTGTAAATTTTCTTCATAGTGGTAGAATTTTTGTGGCTCTCCAGACTGAAGTCAAATTTCTTCTATTATTTTTTCCTTTCTAGAATTTTCTGGACTCTTGGTCCTAATAGAAATCTTTCTCTATAACACCATACACATTGAATATTTTCCATCCAGAACACCACTAAAGTTCATTATCAATATTTCTTCAATTTTGACTCAAGCTGAATTAATTTATTTATGAATTTGAACTTCCGAAATTTCAAAAATAACAGACGAGGAAATATCAACAAAAGCACACTTACAAAAATTGCTCAAGCGACTTAACACAGGCCACTTTTTGGAAAAAGTGCTGCAAAATATCGTTCGTCGACCGTTTCTGTCTCACGTTGAGGCGTGCATCAGACAAGGACGAGAGATCACGGTTTACAATTTATAACGTCTAGACAGGACATATTTTAGAAATCGTGTCATCTGTATAGTGATATTTCACGTTGTTCGGTGTTGAAAAACTATTGTTTGGAAGTTTAAGCCAACGATAATAATTGTTAGTATTTTAAACTGTTTTCGGAAGTTATTTTTATATTTGACAAGTTGATTGCTTCCAGGATTGTTTTACTTGTGGGTTAATGTTAAGTTCGATAACAATGCGTGAAAACATAAATAGAAGAGTTATAAAAATAAATATCATTTTAAAACGTATTAGGTTGCCTCAACCAGGAAGTTTTTAAACCGACAGACAGAGAAATAAAGTGGTAATTCTTAACGACTGACGAAAAATAGATTTGATTAATCAACAGGTTGTACATTTCCATCCGGTTTGTTGACTTCGTTCAATCTAAACATGTTTTCTTTAAAAACGTCCATAAACATCACACTCGGTCTATAAAAGTTATGGCTCCATTTTACATCGCGGCTAATCGAAAAAGATCAAAGAATAATCAGTATTAACACGAATTTTGTTTCAGGGCAAATGTTCCTGATGAACCGTTTCTTCGATGGTGCCTTCCTCATGTTCGGCTTCGACGTGATAGCATTTATTAACAGTGACCAAGAAGACCGGATCGACCCCATGATCGAGATCTTTCCTCGGATGACCAAGTGCACGTTCTACAAGTACGGTGTTTCCGGAGACTTGGAGAAGCACGACGCCATGTGTATTCTCCCCTTGAACGTGGTCAACGAGAAAATCTACATCTTCTTGTGGTTCTGGTTCATTATTCTGTCCGTTTTGACATTTTTTACGTTGATATACCGGATTGTGATTATTTTCTCGCCCAGGATGCGCGTCTACTTGCTGCGAATGAGGTACTTGTGGGTACTGTTTTTTTCGGTGTGTGGACAATCTGGCGTGTTTCAGGTACCGACTGGTCCGGAAAGACGCCATAGACCTCATCGTCCGACGCAGCAAAATGGGCGACTGGTTCCTCTTCTACATGCTAGGAGAGAACGTAGACTCGGTTATTTTTCGCGACGTCCTCCAAGAGCTGGCCAACAAGTTGGCCAGACACAACTTTCACCACATCCCCGGTTTTAAGGGGGAAATTCAAGAAGCATAGATGTTGGCCGTGCCTTAGCTGCCTCACTGCCGCCATACAGAAGATGTACGAGTGTTCTAGTCACTTCTAGTCTATAGTTGTAAGTCGAATAGTCTTTTCAAGACAGAGTCAGTATTGTCGCGGAGGAAGTCTTTCCTGCCTATGTCAAAGAAAACATTCCGAAGTTTCGAAGAGGAAATGAAGACAGTTTTGAATGACCGGTGGCTGCCGGCTTTTTTGAACTATTCGTGCATCTCTGTATTTTGGAAAATAGTCAATCTCGTTACGAAATGTTTATTTTTTATTAGTTCTGTGGACGATATACAATCTATTGTGTAATTGTTATTGTTATAAGTTATCGTATCTTTTGTATTTTTTAGAGAATAAAAGATTTTCTCATACGGTCATTCTATTTGTTGTTTGTTTTTGGATATGGCCTGAGGAAATTTGTTGAAAAGTTTTGCGTTACGCACGTGTCTGTTCGTATTTCACGTACATTTTTAATGCTTTGCCAACTTCGTTAATTTACGCTTGTTCAGAAACAGGTAGTTAAATGCCCACCAGTCGGAATCCGCTTGGGTCTACCCTCAGTTTTATTTATGACCGCAATTCACCCTAATCTCCTAGTGCTATTTAGAGTAGCCGGAAGCTTGAAACTTGTATTTCTACCATATTTATTCCATTATCTATTTTAGTTTTCTTTAATTACTTTTTCAAACTATTTATCTACTCACAGTTTGTCGTTTCTTTGTTGATTATTATCTGTTAAAAAATATACGAAGCAGGGTAAATAATACAAATTAAATTTTAGAAGAGTCTGAACGTGACCAACCTGAAAGACCTGAAGAATCTGAAAAATCGTTCTTCTTGTCTCTAAATTCCTGAAAATTTCTCACCCGGAAATCATATTTAAGTAGATTTTGATTTTTTCTATTATTTAAATTCAGCTGGGGAGCCTGAAAATCTAAAGAATAATCTGAGAAACCTAAAAAATCCGAACAGCCTGAAAAACCTGAAGGACCAGAGAAGCTTCAAAAGTTTGAAAAATTCAAATAATTTGACAAACCTGAAGAACATGAAGAGTCTGCAGATTCGTACTTGTTTCTAAATTTCTGAAGATTTCACACTCCGAAAACGTTCTTTAGTTAATTTTAAATTTTTTAAAACACCATAGAGAGCCCGGAAAACCTAAAAATCAGAAGAGTTTGAAAAACCTGAAGGACCGGAAGAGCTTTAAAAGTGTGGAGTCTGAATAACCTGACGAACCTGAAAAGTCTAAAAAGAAGAACTTGAAGGATCTGAAGAGCTTCAAAAGCTCGAAGAATTTAAATAATTTGATAAACCTGAAGAACCCGAAGAGTCTGAAGAATCGTTCTTTTTGTTTCTAAATTCCTGAAGAATCCCCGCCCCGGAAACTTCTTTTATTTAATTTTGAATTTCCCTTTTTAACTTAAATTTAGCCTGGAGGGTCTGGAAAACTTAAAAAGTGTGAACAATCTAAAGAATCTGAAGGATCTGAAAAACTTCAAGAGCCTGAAGAGTTTGAATAGTTTGATGAATCGGAAGAACTTGAAGAGTCTGAAGAATAGTTCTTATTTTTAAATTTCTGAAGATTTCACACCCCGAAAACGTTCTTTAGTTAATTTTGAATTTTCTTTGTTTTTTTTTATTTAGCCTGGAAAAGTTGGAGTCTGAACAGCCTGAAAAACCTGGCGGACTAGAAGAGCTTCAAGAATCTGAAGTCTGAAAAGTTGATAAATCTGTTGAATCTGAAGAATCTGAAGAATGGTTCTTTTCGTCGCTAAATTCCTGAAGATTTCACTATTGCGAAACGTCTTTTAGTCAATTTAGATTTTTGTTTTTTATTTAAATTCAACCTGAAGAGTCGGAAAACCTATAGAATCTGAATAATCTGAGAGCTTGATGAACCTAAAGAGCTTCAAGTGTCAAAGAGAACCTGAAGAGTCTGAAGAATTGATATTTTGCTCATAAATTCCTGAAGATTCCACACTCGAAAAACGTATTTTAGTAAAGACTGTTTTTTTTTTATTTAAAACACCATAGAGAGCCCGGAAAACCAAAAAATCCGAAAAGTTTGAAAAACCTGAAGGACCGGAAGAGCTTTAAAAGTGTGGAGTCTGAATAACCTGATGAACTTAAAAAGTCTAAATACTCCGAAGAACTTCAAGGATCTGAAGAGTTTCAAAAGCTCGAAGAATCTAAATAATTTGATAAACCTGAAGAACCTGGAGTCTGAAGAATCGTTCTTTTTGTTTCTAAGTTCCTGAAGATTCCCCGCCTCGGAAACTTGCTTTATTTAATTTTGAATTTCCCTTTTTTACTTAAGTTTAGCTTGGAGAGTCTGGAAAACCTAAAAAGTGTGAACAATCTAAAGAATCTGAAGGATCTGAAAAACTTCAAGAGCCTGAAGAGTTTGAATAGTTTGATGAATCGGAAGAACCTGAAGAGTCTGAAGAATAGTTCTTCTTATTTTTAAATTTCTGAAGATTTCACACCCCGAAAACGTTCTTTAGTTAATTTTGAATTTTCTTTGTTTTTTTTTTTTAATTCAGCCTGGAGAGCGTGGAAAACCTAGAGTCTAAACAGCCTGAAAAACCTCACGGACTAGAAGAGCTTCAAGAGTATGAATAATCTGACAAATCTGTTGAACCTGAAGAATCTAAAGAATTGTTCTTTCGTCTCTAAATTCCTGAAGATTCCACTTTCACGAAATGTCTTTTAGTCAATTTAGATTTTTGTTTTTTATTTAAATTCAACCTGATAAGTCTGAAAACCTAAATAATCTGAATAATCTGAGAACCTGAAGAACCTAAAGAGCTTCAAGTGTCAAAGAGAACCTGTAGAGTCTGAAGAATTGATATTTTGCTCATAAATTCCTGAAGATTCCACACTCGAAACATGTATATATTTTAGTAAATATTGCTTTTTTTTAATTAAATCACCATAAAGAGCCCAGAAAACCTAAAAATCCGAAGAGTCCGAAAAACCTGAAGGACCGGAAGAGCTTTAAAAGTGTGGAGTCTGAATAATCTGACGAACTTGAAAAGTTTAAATATTCCGAAGAACTTGAAGGATCTGAAGAGCTTCAAAAGCTCGAAGAATCTAAATAATTTGATAAACCTGAAAAACCCGAAGAGTCTGAAGAATTGTTCTTTTTGTTTCTAAGTTCATGAAGATTTCCCGCCTCGGAAACTTGTTTTATTTAATTTTGAATTTCCCTTTTTTACTTAAGTTTAGCTTGGAGAGTCTGGAAAACCTAAAACGTGTGAACAGTCTAAAGAATCTGAAGGATCTGAAGACTTTCAAGAGCCTGAAGAGTTTGAATAGTTTGATGAATCGGAAGAACCTGAAGAGTCTGAAGAATAGTTCTTTTTATTTTTAAATTTCTGAAGATTTCACACCCCGAAAACGTTCTTTAGTTAATTTTGAATTTTCTTTGTTTTTTTTTTTTTTTAATTCAGCCTGGAGAGCATGGAAAACCTAGAGTCTAAACAGCCTGAAAAACCTCACGGACTAGAAGAGCTTCAAGAGTATGAATAATCTGACAAATCTGTTGAACCTGAAGAATCTAAAGAATTGTTCTTTCGTCTCTAAATTCCTGAAGATTCCACTTTCACGAAATGTCTTTTAGTCAATTTAGATTTTTGTTTTTTATTTAAATTCAACCTGATAAGTCTGAAAGCCTAAATAATCTGAATAATCTGAGAACCTGACTAACCTAAAGAGCTTCAAGTGTCAAAGAGAACCTGTAAAGTCTGAAGAATTGATATTTTGCTCATAAATTCCTGAAGATTCCACACTCGAAACACGTATATATTTTAGTAAATATTGCTTTTTTTTTAATTAAATCACCATAAAGAGCCCAGAAAACCTAAAAATCCGAAGAGTCTGAAAAACCTGAAGGACCGGAAGAGCTTTAAAACTGTGGAGTCTGAATAACCTGACGAACCTGAAAAGTCTAAAAAGAAGAACTTGAAGGATCTGAAGAGCTTCAAAAGCTCGAAGAATCTAAATAATTTGATAAACCTGAAAAACCCGAAGAGTCTGAAGAATCGTTCTTTTTGTTTCTAAGTTCCTGAAGATTCCCCGCCCCGGAAACTTCTTTTATTTAATTTTGAATTTCCCTTTTTTACTTAAATTTAGCCTGGAGAGTCTGGAAAACCTAAAACGTGTGAACAGTCTAAAGAATCTGAAGGATCTGAAGACTTTCAAGAGCCTGAAGAGTTTGAATAGTTTGATGAATCGGAAGAACCTGAAGAGTCTGAAGAATAGTTCTTTTTATTTTTAAATTTCTGAAGATTTCACACCCCGAAAACGTTCTTTAGTTAATTTTGAATTTTCTTTGTTTTTTTTTTAATTCAGCCTGGAGAGCGTGGAAAACCTAGAGTCTAAACAGCCTGAAAAACCTCACGGACTAGAAGAGCTTCAAGAGTATGAATAATCTGACAAATCTGTTGAACCTGAAGAATCTAAAGAATTGTTCTTTCGTCTCTAAATTCCTGAAGATTCCACTTTCACGAAATGTCTTTTAGTCAATTTAGATTTTTGTTTTTTATTTAAATTCAACCTGATAAGTCTGAAAACCTAAATAATCTGAATAACCTGAGAACCTGACTAACCTAAAAAGCTTCAAGTGTCAAAGAGAACCTGTAGAGTCTGAAGAATTGATATTTTGCTCATAAATTCCTGAAGATTCCACACTCGAAAAACGTATATATTTTAGTAAATATTGCTTTTTTTTATATTAAATCACCATAAAGAGCCCAGAAAACCTAAAAATCCGAAGAGTCTGAAAAACCTGAAGGACCGGAAGAGCCTTAAAAGTGTGGAGCTGAATAACCTGACGAACCTGAAAAGTCTAAATACTCTGAAGAACTTGAAGAATCTGAAGAGCTTCAAAAGCTCGAAGAATCTAAATAATTTGATAAACCTGAAGAACCTGTAGAGTCTGAAGAATCGTTCTTTTTGTTTATAAATTCCTGAAGAATCCCCGCCCCGGAAACTTCTTTTATTTAATTTTGAATTTCCCTTTTTAACTTAAATTTAGCCTGGAGAATCTGGAAAACTTAAAAAGTGTGAACACTCCAAAGAATCTGAAGGATCTGAAGACCTTCAAGAGCCTGAAGAGTTTGAATAGTTTGATGAATCGGAAGAACCTGAAGAGTCTGAAGAATAGTTCTTTTTATTTTTAAATTTCTGAAGATTTCACACCCCGAAAACTTTCTTTAGTTAATTTTGAATTTTCTTTGTTTTTTTTTTTATTTAGCCTGGAAAAGCTAGAGTCTGAACAGCCTGAAAAACCTGGCGGACTAGAGGAGCTTCA